ACTATTTTCAAATGAAATTAGTGTGTGGAATAAGAATGGCTTTGACAATTTAGCTGGCAAAAGACACGAAAAATCGTCGATTCTTTCGTATTTGAAGCAATTTGGAAATCGAAGTGGAATAGAATTTAACATTAGTAAATAATATAAAATAAATATTGAAAATTATAACAAGATAGTTATGGTTTATAGATATAATATATCTAAATAAATAGATGTTATATGTTTTTATCAAAGCAAGAATTGGCATTTAGAGGGCAAAGGAAACCTATTGAAACTAATAACAGAGGTAATTATATTGAACTTGTTTATTTATTAAGTACGTCAGATAAATAATCTATTAAAAATACATTTAAAGAAAGAATTAACTGATTGCCCCTGGAAGTCGGCTTCTTATAGAAACACAGCTTCCCTATCATCAAATGTCACAACACGCCCCAGATAGTGATAGTGTATTTTTTTGGAGACAACGCACCAGTTGGTTTTTAGAGGTTAGTTGTCATATATCGTGGTGTGCTGTAGATGTTTTATGTGATGTAATTATAAGTTGTGAAATTTAACACATTATTCCTGATGTGAGATTTTATTCTTTGTTTTGAAGCTTTAAACTTTTTTTACCTCAAATTTTGTTTGAATAAAATCAAGTTGAAATGTCTACAGATGAAATGCGTAGCAGTCATGTTATTCATGCTTTTAGGTTTGATAAAGGATATCACTCTATACAAACAGTAAAAAATACTTGTACTGTGTATGTGGAAAATGTGTCAAATGTGGTTTTGAAAGTTTAATTCGGGAAATTTTGAACTAAAGGATACAAAATGTATGGGCCCCCAAAAGCTGTTGAAGAGAAATTGCAGGAAGAAATTGTTAAAGATTGATGGATAACAACTTATGGATTTGTAACAAATCATAGTGTGCACAGACACGTATCGTTGAAACACTTCATCCACTTGAAATGGTTGTAAAACATTCTCATGATAGTGTTCTGCATGCGATTTTTTATATTTTTTTTAACTCTGAAGAAAACGAACTGAATTGAGTATAATATTAGCTGACCAAGGTAGGCAGCTGTAAGGTTCTATTTTATTTTTGAACTGGTTACTCATTTTTATCTTGGAGAACTTTTTTATGGATGAATGAAAAAAAAAAGTTAAAAATAAAAATATTTGTTTTAGCAGGTGCTTTGATTGTTTAATTGTTTGGAGTACTAAGGTACCACTGTATTTGATTAATGTGATTTTGATATACATGGTAATATCAAGAAATTTATTAATCGTATTAATCAAGGGATACCTATAGTAGATAACATGTATATAGCAGAAACCTGTCTATTACAGAAGAGTTCTTCGGTCCCTTGGTGTTCTGTTATCGACATTTTTGACTGTATAAACATCAAATTATTGTGGATTAATACACTTTTTTATAGTATGGAAATTTTGCATATTTATAAAAATGGTGCATAAATGAAACCGAAACTAAAATTTTGTGGCACACATCCTCATATATTTTTGTCATATGACAGAAAACGATAAATAGAACGGAAACAAATAATTACCCAATCAGAATTGAGCATGTATTTTTCAAATGATGCAATTATAAAGGCTAAAAAAATTAGTTTTTGCATTTGTATACATTATATTTATATTATAAACAATCAAATCTATATCAAATTAAATGTTAATAAATGATCTTTAACGTGGACTAGTTATAATAACTATAAAGTTATTTGTTTTCAAATATGCAAGATTTTAAAAAAATGTCAACAGAGGTCAATCTACAGATGCAAGTGAGCAAATTTTCTGAGCGAGTGAGAATATGTGGTGAGAAGGGGTGAGACGCAATAAATATTGAACCCTGTCAGATATGTGCGAGAACCAGAAATTTGCTCATGCCAGTGAGATTTCTTGCTTCTTGCTTGTGCATGTTTTCCTTTGTGAAAACTATATTTCTTGCAACCTCTCACTCTGTATTAAATTCATGCCTGCATAGTCACACCCTTAATCTGATGAATATTAATAAGCTTATGGAAAAAAATCATTATAATAAATGCTTATCTCTTGGAATTGAATTTTAAAGATTTCTGTAATATTTGTAAATTTATTACTATGTTCTTTTTAGTTTTAAATAATTTCAAAATAAATTATACATTTTAAGTTAT